TAAAAACTGTATCTATTGAACTTTATTGTTTTGTTGTTTTTATGTTTACATTAGAGAAACCTGACTATCCTGACTTTTGGATTTTGAAAAAAGAGTCCGTTTGGACTCTGGAATTGAACCAGCGACCTTGCAAGTCCATGGCGACATCGTTCCTCTTAGTCCGAACCGTCAGATAGTGATTGTCAGTAATCAGTAAGTTCAGGATCACTATATAGTTAATGCCGACCTTGTCCCAATCAATTCTGGGCCCATGTAACAGCTCCATCAATGTTTTTGTGCTTTAGTGCGTGGAATAATTGCTATTCCCAAGCTATAGCAATTGATGTTTTTTCCTGAGCTTAGGCCTTATATTATACCTTTCTGTGAGCGCCCCCTTTACCTGAAGAATAGGCCTACTTTACATTTTACCCCTTCCAACACAAGGGGTTACATAAACGACTTGAATTACAGGGTTCTTGTAAGAGAAATATGGGTTTAAAGGACAAATGATGGCAAAGTTTGATGTCGTTTTTTGAAGGTTGTTACCTTGATGGTTTGGTAACACCTTGGATCCCATTCTTGTAGCCTGTACGCGTTGGCTTCACCCAGATTAATGACTATCTGCTTGGAATCCCATATCTGGGTAATTCCACCATGTCAAAATGGTTGCTAGTCACGAAATATGTAGTTTCTAGAGCTCAAGTCAGGTGTAACTAAGTTTTCAGCGAAAATTACTGTGAAGCCTGAAAAACCAGTTTTTTCTCAGTTGGGGGTAGGTTCTCACATGCGACGTTTTTGGTAGTTACGAAGCTGTTTAGAATTACTTCTGCATCAATGTCGCACTTTGTTTGGCTGTTTTCAAGGTTGTCATAAAGCCTTTGGGGCCAATCAAATAGTTTCAGCTGATGGAATCCCCGTGAACTGGATCGTTGCAGATCTGACGGTTGCTAAAGGAATTTAAGGGGTTATAGAGTGAAAATTCAGTCCATTTCCGGTTTTCAGAGGAAAGTCAAATGCATGGCGCATAACTGGATTTCACTCGCAAGTGAGATGGTATTGCTCAGCCCCGTACAGTCTATCTACTCTTCGGCGCACCCATGGAAGCATCTATAAAAATCATCTGGTAAGACCTCCTATTTCCTAGCCAATAACCACCCAAAAATCTTAAATTTCTATTCCGATTTCCGTTTCCGAGGGCTGACCGATTTCGTTTTCCGGAATCGGTCAGCCCTCGCTTTTTTGAGCTTGTAAGTCTAGTAGTCTAGAAAACTGCCGCGAGATGAAGTGATTCAGAGAAACAATGAGCATTTGCAATGATCAAAAGCTTCTGGTGTTTACTTTGAGTACCAATTCTGATTTTTTTTTGTTTTGAAGTTACATTTATTAAGGCTATGTTACTGCAACAGTAGGAAACTCTTCCTCAAGCTGATTTCCTTTTTGAGCTCACTTATATGAATTAAGTTTTCGGTCTGACCCTTCTGAATTCGCCAATCTGTTCGACTTAACTTGGAAATCACAGCCGCGTTTCGGAGGATTTTGGCTTTTACAATGGCTTCTGGGGTCCCCCGAGGAAAAGTCACTTTTTTCGTTTTAACAGAACATCTGGTAGCCTTTATTCAACCTTAATGGTCCCTTTGGAGTGGTGGCAGGTTTGGTTGGTCTGCGCGATCTCTTGACTGGTCCCTGAAACTTGCGTGTGATAAGTGGGACCACTCGGTACTATCCCACTTCCACCCTCTTGACAGTCTATTGGTTTAGCTCTATTATTTACCTTACTTTCTTTTTTATCCTATTTATCAGCATGCAATGATACAGCCCTTTATTAGATCCCATCACTTTTCCCTATGATACTGTTTTTTTTTGCTTTTATTTTGTTCAGAGGCGTATTATCCCCGCCTAGCATACTTAAGCCCCATTTGAAGGTCGAGACCTCCGAGAGAGCTTCACCCGCGATGACCTCTGCCACTGACACCTCAATCTACTCACATTTTTCACACCTAGTGTACGAGATAACAGTTGTTCTGTCTTGTGTACACTCTTCCCATAGCGATCGGACGTACCTAAGCTGTACAGCTAACTTTTGGCCTGCGACCAACTTAACATCGTCGATCATCACTTAGCCGTCAGTCTCGTGAATAGCACTGCTGCGGAAGAGTGCACAGCAAACGTCCGCGCCGGTCTCGAGTTGCGGTCTGATCGTGGCTGATGGCGGTCGTGGTGTTGGTGGCGGCGGTCGACCGACGTCGACGGGCTGGGGCGTGGCCGGCGATAGGGCGGAGCCGGTGGTGTTCATGCGAAGTGCCGACACGATCGCATCTGGCCCTGTGTCTGACGCGCTCGTCCTACGTGCTGTATTCTGTGGGCGCCATGGGTGGTGGCAGGACTGGTGGCGGTGGTACTACTGTCACATGCAGAACGACAAATAATCCCACGGTACTACGAGTAGTAGTTGTGGGTGGTGGTGGTGTCGGTAAATCGGCACTTACCATACAATTCATTCAGGTTCGGTCCCAGTTCAACCGTTATTTTCACTTTCTGTAATTTTTCGTCAACTTTATTGATTTTCCTTTAAACTGTATCACATTTCGGTCTCTCGTTTCGTTTTATTTGTTCACCAACATTTTTCTCGCCCTACAGAATTCTCCTGTCTCACCCCATTTTCGGCAACGCTCGTCGATTAGCATTTTGTGAGCGATTCCCTTGCTGTCACAAGAAATGCCTGTCACTATAGATTGACAGAAAAGTAAAATAATCTCAAATTTTTCTTTTTTAATAGTAAATATGACTAAGATTTCAACGTTTGGATACCTCCCTACCCTACCGGAGCTTTCCTTCTCCCATAGATCGACTGAGAAGGTTCCTACCATCTCTTCCAATCCTGTGCCGAATCTTATGGGTGGTCAAAGTTCTATCCGGTTCCTTTCGTCCCCAAATTGCCCTCGAAGCCAAATGTTATCAGACCGGCGCCGCTTTTGACGCTCGAGACCGCAGGTTCCTATCCTCTTATCAAACGATTTATGGGTTCCAAAACTCCAGATAGCGAATAGGAACGGGCGAAAATGCTGTTGATCCCTCCCATCTGACTACCCTTACATGAGGACTGTCCTGTAGAACTTCCAAACCCTTTGCTCCCATCATTTTCTTCTTTGAAGAGGAATGATTCCCTACCGGATCGTCACGGCAGTGAGGCTTCTGGAGGCTCCCGTAGTGTCCGATATCTAGGATACCAGTTGGTACTCATGTCAGGGTTCTTTACCTCCCTTAGGGAAGCCAGCACTATGTCGATCGATTCCTGACTGAAAAACTTTGTTAGTATTCCAAGGTTCTGTTCCAAAGAACATACCTATGGTAATGATGCCTCCTCAGTCTCCGCCTCACCACTTCAGACACCGCGTTTTCGATATTAACCTGTCCTATTGGACTCCTACTCTTACCTCTACCTATTAACTCGCTAGATTGGAACTCAACTGGTAAGGTGGTAAGGTAAAAACCCACGATAGGGCCAAGTAAATGGACTGGTCTGGACCGACATTGTGGGGTTTTGAAGTATTTCTAGATGGAGAGCATTTTCGGGGACTAGCCTAACCCGTCGTCTTAGAGCACCTTTGCAGCAGCAGCAGGTCGGAAATAGGATATGAAAATGGAATGGCATAAAAAGCATAGTAACCGGACCGGACTGTTTTTGTAATTCTATCACTTTGACTACGAAATATAAAGCCTTTCGAAGAATACCGGAAGGTTTTCATGTAAATCGCCTACAAAAAGCTGCCCTTGCCCATACCCTTCCCAGGTTGCGCCATGTAATCGTTCAGCGTTCACCATCGAAAGAAGCTATGGCAATGATTCACCCGTGTCAATAAATCGATTAAATCTGCTCCAGTGACACCGTTCTACTTGAGGAAGAGCAGAAATGTTCAAGGATCAGCTCGAGTGGGAGATTTTATCGCAAAGGAAACTTTCAGCCGGTTTCCCACGCCTTATTTATGACTTTCGCAGACCATTTTTCGATCATAATAGAGTTGATGGTGGTGGTTCCGTAACGATTCCTAGGACTTTATGGGTCATCTCTAGGGTTTTCTCTCTCGATTTTGTTTCCTGGGGTTTTCATTGACAACGTCTTCTGGGAAGGACTAGGGAGAAAAAGTGGGGAAGGCCTGACTAAATTCATCGAGTTTTTTCAGAGACTTCCAGAAACCTGTTTTCAACCTCCTTTACTCACTTTTGGGAGTTTTTCGGGTAGGAACCAAGTGCTAGCTAGCTGCATGGCTGTCAATATAAGTTGAGAGAGATGAAATCTCGCATTGATTTTGCCCGTTTTCGCTATGTTTTCCATGAAAATCTCTGGCATTTCTTTTGTTTTGTTCTTTCAAATCCTCTTGTGTTGGGCTCCTCATTCGGACAAGCCGTCAATCTTAAGCAGTCAGCAGCCTATTGAAGATTGCTTCGCTCCCTTGACAACACCCACCCATACATTTCCGGTCCATTTTTCTTTTCGGACTCAAATAGGGGTAACTTCATTTTTAATCGAGTGAAATCGATTAGGCTATTAAACAATGGATAGGCTATTAAATAATCGAGTAACTCGGGCAGGAAAAAGACCATTTCGATTTCAATGACCTCGGGTAATAAACTCGACCACAGAATTTTCCAGGAGGGGTCTTTTGATGGAATAATTTTTGTGTGGTGGCCCCTCGCCAGCCTTGTTATTTATTTATTTTTTTGCTAATTAATTTTTACTCAACAATTTTTATTTTGATCTTTCTTAAGTAGATGTATGAATACAACTTTATTTCTTTTCAAAGTAAAAAATTATATAAAACTATATATACATATATAAAATAAAAATAAAAATATTTATATTAAAAATGCAAAAAAATTATCATAGCAGTTTTCTAAACGAAGACCATTGGATCTCGTTTTTTGATACCTTTCTCATTCCTATCCGATTCATTTCTAGTGGTTTCTCCCTCAAAGTTGCTCTCCCATGCTACTTGTTTTTTGATTTCCCGCTGGAAAAATCTATATTTATTCCGAATATGCCAAAGAATTGGATTGATGCCAAAGTTTTCTACCCCTTCCTCATCCGGTTGTCTCCCCATGAAGGCTGATTTTTTCTACCATTCTATCTGCTTTCTGTAGAAATTGATTGTCTTCGACTGATTATTGATTCCCTACAAGACTCGGTATAGAAGACTTGCTATTTGGGTCGCACGATGATTCGTCTTGAACCGAAAAAGTAGGAATCTCTGTAATTGAGGACGAACAGCTGTAGCTGTTGAAAGGAAATACGCCGTGGGAAAAGTTTTTTTTCCAACTGCTCACATTCATCCGAGTAGAAACTTCACCGATTGGCTATGTTGTGGTTTTCGATGGCTCGTTGTTTAACAGCTTTCTCGAAATGTTTCTGATCTTCTTTTTCATTATTTAGGCTTCAGTGAGGTATCTTACCAGTACTATATTTGATGAGTTAAAATTATGGGGCTTGTCAATCCTTTGATTGATGTTTTTCTTGAAATCACTGATTTTTTCGGAATTACAAACCCATTGTGCCGAATCTTTCCCATAAATGGCATGGCACTTAGGAAATGCGATAGATACTTTCGGCCTTTCCCCTTCAATTTCCAATAGTTCCATTCAAAACTCGATCTAACTTCAAACGGTTCATTTACTTTATTGATTGATTGATTAACTATTTCTTCGTTTACTTGTTTGTTTATTTAGTGCATTTTGATGCGCACCAAACAGTATGCCCACGTATTGGGTTGTCCGGGATTCTGATGCAAAGCACCTTTACTACCTTTACCTTCTACCCCCTTTACTCGTTCCTTTTCTATGCATTACTGTAATGTTTCATGCTCTATTAATCATTAATTCACAGTCTGAACGTATGTATGTAATCCCATTGAGAATGAGATCCTTTCATCACCTTTCTCTTCCTTAATTCGGTTTCCGAGTACACCTTCGAACCCATGATCAGGTAGTCGTCTGGGTGCAGGAAAACCTTACACTTCCCCACCTTTGTAAAATGGCGGGCTCGAACAACTAGCCTATTTGATAGATTTTAGCCTTATTCTCGCCCTTTTTTACCAGAAATTTCCATAACGACTCTCTCTTAGTTTGATTACTTGCACTTTACTTGGCGTTTTTACAATTTCCATCAATTTCTGCACCTTCCAGGCCACGAAAGTCCTAGTCAGAGTCAGAGCAGCGGTTTGATGGGGTGAAAAATCAGCTGTGCTATAATAGATGGCCGACCAACTAGGGGTATGTCGCCGTCGTCGTCGGCCGTTGAGTCGAGCCGCGCAGAGACACTTTGCTGATTATCGAATTTCTCAATCGTTACGTAAACAAAACGCCGCAAGTGTCCGATTTCCACACCACGTAATTCTGCACCAACATGCCTTTGTGGTTTTTGCACCACTAGAAACATTCATTCACCTGGGATACGGTAGCTGCCAGTAAGGGCGCGGGCAGAGTAGGGGGGTCCGATTACAATTGGATCTGGCGAGGAGGTTAGGTAGGGACAGACGTGGTAATCCAATCAGCTGTTGTTTTAGACTACACCAGGTCCTGTGGTGCTATAGATCTGCTGAGAGGATGCTGGAAGTTTATTAGAAGGATGCTGAGTTGCAGGCAAAACGTTCGCCCTGGACGGGACTCGAACTTGCGCCTATGCTTCCCAATTATCCTGCTTATCCATTACACTCCGAGACCAATAATTTTGAATATCGGTTGGAGTTTGCACTGCTGGAGCTTATTCGTTACCCATAGTCAATAGAAATGGTTCAATCAAAGAATTGCAAAATATGGTCATCTGATTACCCCCAATCTGCCAACGATTGCCCTGTTCCCGGCGGGAGTGGGGGAGGAACGCTCCAAAAAACCCAGAAGTGGACCGAATAGTCGTAGTCATGTGCTTGACATTGTAAGCTGATGATTCACTGGCAGTCCTCCAGTAAAGGTTAAAAAGCGCGGGGGTAGTCGTCGACCCACCACAGTCGACATCTCAAATGCTATTCGGATGGCGTCTGACCGAACGAACATTTTTTCCCAGTGCGAAAGATGGACAGCCATGCACCCTCGCAATACATCTTTAAGTAGTCTTTCGATGGCTATCCCCTTAAAATGTCACGGATCCAAGGAAAACGTCATAGGGGGTGGGGTAATTTTTAGAAAAACCGAGTCATTAGTGGAAACCGTGGGAGCAATTTCCCGGAAAAATTCAAAAAGGAAAGCTTTTTGAGGGGATACTCAAAAAATAATTTTTTGCAAAAATATTTTTTCTGTACAACTGCATATTAGCATATTTCAATATGATTGAAATTGCTCCAGTAAAATGATAATTAGGCTATTGTCTGTGGTTACTTCATCGATTTCTTTGATAGTAAAGATGAGCAGTCCCTCCAATTTTCCTCTCTGAGGAGAAAAACTGATTTTTCTAAATTTTCATTGAATTAGCAGGATCGAATCCTTCCCGAGTCCTGATGTTATGCAAATAATTAACCTTTTTTGGTTATGATAGATATTTCACTCGTCATTTCGTTCATATCGAGGGTGTTACCATTTTAAGGACCCCCCCCCCTCAACTTCTTCTTTCTACACGCCTATCTTCAATCCATTTTTAATTAAAATAGCTTTCAAATTGGTTTTTTACAATTTTTAATTGAAATTTTTGAGATCTTCGTCATGTGTTTATAATTTCAGCAATATTTCGTGCAAGACTATGATCCGACCATTGAAGATTCATACACAAAGCAATGTTTTGTTGACGAGGATCTCTGTAAAATGGAGGGTGAGTTGCTGACCTTTTCGAAATATCCGTTTTCATCTCAGATGTTAAATTCATATTGAAATTTATTCATCCAATTTGTTCTGCACCAAATAATGATTTCTGTTTTTTTGTTATTGGCCTTATTAGGATCTTTTCGAACTTTGAAGAACTTTTTTTCGTAGCATGAATTCTTGAGTGGGATTCATTTACAGAAATAGATTCTCTACTTATCATTACCAAAATTCATCGTCAATGTTTATTATGCCATTGATTTTTATAAAAAGTCACCGTCAGGCGCGTAAAATCGATTTCGGTCATCGTACAATAGAATATTTCATTATTTTATTGATCCTTTTGTTTTGGGAGTTTCGTTGAACCATTCTTTTTCGCTATTGCTACCTAATTCTTCTTTCTCCTTATGCTCTTATTCAAATGTCCCAAACGTTGCCTTAGCTTGGATATATTCATCATGTTTATGAAATTGAAAAAAAACCGAATCGTAAACAAAAAATTCGGGAAGGGGACATTGCCTTCTTAAATGTTCCCCACGAGAATTTCTTTTTGTCAATCTTTCTCGGAAATTCAATCTTCAATTTCCTGTGTTACTTACGGTTCAGTGTTTATTTCCTTGCTTACTATGGTATGAACATTTTTACAAATATTTTGGCTTGTAACCCTATATTTTGAGAATAAGAGTTGCATGTCTAAGGGCTANTTCCTGTGTTACTTATGGTTCAGTGTTTTTCCATGCTTTCTATGATGGCATGATCATTTTTACAATTATTTTGGCTTGTAACCCTATATTTTGAGAATAAGAGTTGCATGTCTAAGGGCTAGAAGGTCGTAGACATAACAACGGCATAGTCGTGATGCTTCTATAAATTATGGTCTATACATATAGTCACGCAACGAAAAGCTTTTCTCCAAAAGTCTATGGAATCGATTTTTGTTAGGAATTTCTCATTTTTCTACAAATTCTGCAATCTCCAAGATGACATGTGACCCGACTTTGTAGGTTTCCAAGTATTTTGATGGCATTTTCTTACCTAGTTATGCTGTGTCAACAGAATTGGCAGGGTATGAGCTTGAAGGACTGGTGTTCCGTGTTCCGGTTTCCGATCCCAACTTTTTGTTGTTTTTTGGCAAAGGTTGAGTGTGGGATTTTCCTATTATGTAGACTTCTATGATGCTTGATACCTCTGATGTGACTTTGATATCAATTGATTGATAGAAGAACTCTTTCTTTTGAAAGCTTTTGGCATTTCCCTCATTATTTTGCCTTTTTCCCGACTGAAACCACCTTCCCGTAAACAGCCGCTCAACCCTTTCAACAGCTGTTGATTTCTGATTTTCACGAAACGTCCGTTCCCGAGGAAGAGCTCCCTGATAAATGTGCATGAGGGTCGTATCTCCCTTAGGAGTCATATAGTGATGACGTTTCGCCTAAAACACGTCCACATTTATTATCGTCAGTGTGTGGAACATTGAGATTTCTTGTAAACACAACTGGTTTTGTCGAATGGAGGATTGTCTGTGATATTACATGCTCGTCTTGGGGATGATTGGATAGCAGGAATTCTATTCATTTTTTTGGACCATCAGAATTATACACATATAACTCTCCCACGCGGCCATTACCCACGTACAGTACGATCCGGTCTATCTGAAGTAATGTACTAGAAAGCGGGTCATCGCTATACATAGCGACGCGGTTTTCTCTTCAGGATCTGGTTTAAAGGGCTCTTCTCTATCGAATGCCTTTTGAAAGGTTTACTTTGGCGTTCCAAGGAAGAAATTCGTTGGAGTCGAGCAGAACCCGACAATCAATACAGTAGTCGTAGTAATAAATCACCCCGGCAGACGTGCGCCTTAAGAGAAGCCGACCGCAAAGGCGTGCGTTACGACTCGTTCTCGCTGACGTCAGCGGAAGTTATGATTGGAAAAGGAATTCATGAGGATTGTATGTTCTTTTTCTGGCGCTGGAATGGGGACATGGATTGGACCAGAAAAGAAAAGAGAATCATAAAAAAAAGTAAAAGAAAAAAGTAGCAAAATATGGGGGATAGAAGGATTTCAATTGATTCTCAAAAAATTTCAAAAAAAAAATTCTACAAAATTTGCCGTCCTTAGTTATAGACGGAAAATGAAAGCGTGCCTGGACCGGAGAGTCCACCTTCTAGATTGGAAGTTTCTGAAATATCGGCTTCGGTTTTCAATTGACCGCCATCGAAAGCCTGAACAGAATACTGAGTATCTGAGTTCTTGTGCAAAAATTGGGATACGAATGGTTTTTTTTTCTTAACTGGTCAAATGGTACCAAAGTCATTTGTAACCGCAGAGTGCGCCATTCAAATATTGTTGACTTTTAGAACGATCGCGAGTGCGTGGCTCATTCTGAAGGAGATTTGCAGTTTACCAGATGCAGTTCATTTTTATCTTTTTATTTCATTATTATCTCTGTCCTTGCAAAGCCTTTGCTCATTCTTATTAAGTAAATTAGTACAGAGTTCGTACAGAATTTTGGTTGAACCGGGAACTATTTGTTCCTTAATTTACTTGTTTATTATTTACTTATTTTCTTATTACTAATTTTCTTCACCATCGCCAAAACAAAAACAACTTGTAGGTGTAACACAGAATAGCTTGTACCAAATTATATTCTATGTGAAGCCCTGCCGATTTCAGTACTCGACACGGCTGGGCAGGAAGAGTTCTGCACGATGCGTGAGCAATATCTCCGTTCCGGCAATGGTTTCCTCATCGTATTCGCCGTTACCGACAGAAACAGGTCAGAGAGTGTGTCATTAGGTTCTTTTATTGATTTATCATTATTTCGTCATTACATCTATGTCTTGTTCTGCTCATTGAATCGTTTCCCATGTCCATGCATATGAGTCATCGTTTCTTCATTGTGTCTCCATATTCAGTGTCCTTTTTCCCATCTATTCACCCCTTTTGATGACAACATTGATCATATTGATCGGCATTGATCAGCATTGATTCTCGGTCACTCGGACTACCTTTCTCTTCGTGAGTGTTGCATGCGCGGCTGTCTAGCTAGCCGGCTG